TTTATTTTTAGAAAATTACAAAATTTATATACTAATAAATTAAAACTTAAATTTAAAAAAACTTAAAAATAAAAAAATTGAGACTGTGTTCCGGGGCATCGCCCGGGTTTAAGAGCTAGTAATAATAATATGACATGATTTTATATCATACGGCACATGTATGAATTATATGATTCTATATCATGCAAACATATCATATGACATGATTGCCAACACATCCATGATGGATAGTTGATTACTAGGATGTCAACTAGGCAAATTCCTTTTTTTACATTTACAATGATTTTATCACAAGATTACTTCTAGAAGGCTTATGATCGTTAAAGTAACACTATCCAACACTGAAACTTGTCGGGACCCAATAATTGAATTACGTACGTATAGTAAATGTGTTTTTTTTTTCATTCCCGATTATTGTATTTGAAAATCTTAATACAGAAATCAAAGTCTTCACGTGTAATAAAGGTTTTACATTGTCTATTAAGCGATTTGTTGCTAAGGTATTTAGAAAGCAGTTCACCAAATGCACTATGGATAGTCTTGAAATTCGGTAATCAGGGTAAAAAGATAGCATAATAAAAATATATTTTGACATAACGATAGGATATAATTTAAAACTATCATTGCGTCAATCGAATACGTACGTATTTAGTATAGTATCGAATTCAGAATTATAGTACGTATTAATTCAATTCTGACGTACAACTATATATCGATATGCCAACTATAAAGACAAGATCTAAACTGTATAACAAAAGGCTTTACTGACCTGTTTTACCGTTACTAAATTAACTCTTTTTATACAAAACTTCCGCGCATAGGTTACACGTGATTTCAAAAAAACTGTATCTCATATGACGACAAGTATTGCTTATGTTACACTTCCTTTTTTTTTTTTGGTTCTTTGAAGTCATTCTCCAAAATAAAAGTGACAACATAAAATCGGGTTATCAGTAGTTTGCGAAAGAATTTTCCAGCACCTTATAACCTTATATAAATGACACATTTGTTTCAAACATTAGAACAGGGTAATGAACACGACTCTCCATACGATGGTAAGCAAAAACAGTCTACTGAATTCGTACTTTACTGGGATCTCGCGCAATAATATATAAGTTGTTTTTAGTTTTTTTTGTTTCAATTTTTGCCGGCCTATTATCTTTAAAACATTTTGGCGGTCTCTCAATCCTTGTATGTAGACACTGTTCATTTTTCCCCTGGTCGATTCCGAATACATCCTACCAACATAAACAGAACCCAACCACCTCCTCCTTCCCCTGGAGAACCTGACGAACGTACTCACCTTTTATTTGGAATAAGACCAAAAAAGAGTCAGGTTCAGGAGTGGACTCATGTTACGTGGAAGCGTACATTGATATTGAACGTGTTTCCAGTTGCAGTGGTATGATTTTTTCTTATAATTAATAATTTGAATTCCAAAATAACCTTTTTATTTATCATTGTGTTAATATTTATACAGGTTCTGGCTTGGTGTGCTGTTCCTTTCCCAATTTATGGTCCAAGCGGTTCAATAAAACACTTTGGATTTTCAGTATACACGAATGTTATAAACATTTTCCATTTACCAAATCATGATGATAATCCTGTAGAAATCAACTTTTGGTTCTTTCTATTTTTCTATTATGGATTCTACAATGCCATAGCACTTTTGATGGTCACGAAAATGTTCGATCTGTACTCTTTGAATTGGTGGCCAAAATGGCTCGGTGGTTGTTTCGCTTATGCTGTTTTTTGGCTTTCGTCCCTTATTGGTGGCGTCATAATATACCTATATACTAGTCTGGTAAAATACAATTTGACGTGGGTCTTACTCACCTTCTTCACGATGAATATGCCATTATTGGTGGGATTCATCGTCATTCGTGGGCAGACAAGTAGAAGCCATTATCGGTTTTCGTTTACATTGGCTCAAAAGACATTTCTTGAACGTCAATTACTTCAATCGAGATATCGCATGCCTGCACAATATGTCCGCTTTTTGTGGTTCAGTTTCACTTTATTTATCGTAATTGCTGCATTTACAGCTGGTGAAGCGTACACTTATGTTTTCTTAACAACTCCGGAGGCGCACACAGGAGTAGATGCATTCGTTTACGTTTACTCATGGCTTGCAACCATTTACATACTCGACGCAGTCACTGAGTATATCATTGAATATCGTGTCAAGTCGTATCCCCTTCAATTTACATTCAAACTTTACTTTTTTATGATCTATTTCATTTTCTATCGTAATCTTTTTGCACGACTTCGCGATCCGGATCAATATATACTTATTCAAGCTGCCAGTTCTTTATGGGTTTGTATCTTTTACCCACTATGCATGACACGGACGGTTCATAAAAATCTAGTATGCTTTGTAGGGCTTCAAAAGGACTATGATGAATATAAGAAACAGTGTGGGAGGTCATTTTTTATTCGAAATCTTGCAGAGAACGCGACAATGCTTGGATTCATTTGCTGGATATGTATTATACATTATGGTCCTAATTATGATGTATATCCTTATTTTAAATTTAACGAAGAAGGGAATCCATTTGATTTTGATTTGACTTTACGAATGAGTTGTATTATTTGGGCATTTGAACTTGTAAGTGCCGGCATTACTAGAACAATATTTAGAAAATTATTCAAGCATAGTATTTCTAAGTCAGCTGTTAAGGACTTTGATGATTATCCGGAAATGGTTGTAGCAATGATTGTGATAATTATACACGTACTGCAGGTATGTAATATGATAACGATTCATTGAGTTCGTTTATGGTTAATGTCGTAAATGACAGTTTTTTTATTTCATTTTTAATTTATTATATTTTATCATTATAGGATATGTTGATGGCTCTTCTTAACTTGAATTTTAAAGATGCACTTGGCTCAAAATACAAACCATAAAAAAACCATATAGCACGTGTTTTTAACTAGCATGAATTTGGGTAGATGTAATTTCGGTTATCTTCATTGTCATTATAAAATACTAAGTCTGTCATTGAATTAGTTTGTCTATAATGGTTTCTTTTAGAAGATGACTTTTTTTCATTAGCTTTATATTTGATTGATGTCATTAATAAATGGAGAAATGCGCTGGAATTTATTTCGCATTTCATGCATCGTTCTCACAACTCATCGTTCACCCCTTTTGGAGTCGTTTTGTAACTTTTCATTTAATTCTTTACACAATTTGAAAATTACTCACCAATGTTGGATTGTTATTATTATTATTATTATTATTTGTTTTTTATTATTTACATCGGAATTTTCCTTGCATATAATGCATCATCAGCCATTTTAATTTTTGTCATTATATATAGAAATCACAATTTTGGGGTGAAAAATTTAATAATTTAATTATTAAAAATTTTGAGTGTTGTTAATAACACTGTTACATATTTTTTTACACAACATACGAATATTTAATATTTGCTGTATGTCTTCAAGGTAAATTTTTAATATAGATATATATAATCTTATATACTTAGGGCTACATCCAGAGCAAAATCGAAAACGTTTAACCGCTTAAAATTTGTTCCATAGTTCCGGCCAAATTATGTTGGTCATGGGCAAAATTATTTTAGTGCTGGCTGAAATAAACAGCTAACACGGTTAAATGGTCAAATGATTAGAAAAATCTTGGATGTCAATCTTATGATAGCAGTGCACGAATCTCAGTAGCGGTGATGTTCATTTAGTTAAAAGAGTAATACAATACAAAATATAGTTGCACCGTTTATAAGGCAAGTTAATTTTTTGGTTCTCATAACTCGACCCGGTAAATTTTGCTAAACTTAAAAATTTTAAGTACAGTCTCGGACTGATCCGATAATTTGTGGAGATCCGAAATATATTTCGGATTGAGAATAACGATAAGGATTATCTTAATCCGATTCTGATTGACCAATGTTGGGATTATATTTAATATACGGATCTTTTATTAGTTCGTGAATATTAATGTTAACATTACGCTATGCTCTAATTTATTTATCTAATTGTGAGTGTTAAAGATCGTTTAACAATTAGAACAACGGGATTTATTGGGCTATGAAGCGCTGCTTTACATTTTATTCTGATCGATTGAATGATAGTGGTAATTTGGAATTGTATACTTATATTTATCTCATCCTACTTTTCTTTGAAACCCATTTGGAATTTTTCTTGCCCATCCTCTGCTCTGTTCCGGATAATAAATTGTTGAGAAAACGGTCTAACATTCTATTTGCATCTTAACTCTTGTGTTTTAAGTGAAACGGAACATTGGTCAAGGTTAATTCGGATTTTAATTTTAATTCGGATTGTAATCATCCGAATTTGCAAAAGAAAATTCGAATTTAATCCAAATGATTCCTGACAAATATGATAGAAGCTTTAATAGCGATTTTACCCAAACCTATTAGTTTAGAATTAGGTAGAATCCCAAATAGTATTTATAATATTTCATATCTTCAAATTGTTATAATGTCAAATACTTTTGATATATAATATATTTTTTAACTTTGTTTTAAATTTTTATATGTAAAAATTAAGTTTGAAACATTTGGAAATATATTTTAAATATAAAAAATTATTTAAAATATAGTATAAAAGATAAAATAAAAAAAAGTAATTTAAACTTTTATTTTAAATATATTTTTCACTTAGGTGATCTTGCCAGTAACCTTTATTAAGACAAACTACAAAAAGTACAAATTTATATTTAATCTATAAGGCCCAACATATCCTATCTCTAATCTTCTTGAGCTTTTTTTTACTTGTTGTTTCTAAAAACTTCTTTACAAAAAATACTATTAGATTGACAGTATTTAATTATAGAATAGTAATCTAAGATGTTTATTAATTGGTTGTCTGTAGCAGTTCGGGCAGACAATAGTTTATAGATAAAATATATGTTTTATTAGAGAGAATAAGATAGGCTATTTTTAGATTTCTATTCCTAAAGAATCCTATAATATTACAAGAGAGAATTTGAGGAAGAGAGAAGTTTGGATCTAAAAGGTGGATAGTGCAGGTCTAATATTAATTTGGGCTAAAATGCATTATAGTTTACCCCTACCCTAAAATTTAGGGTATGCATCCTAAAAATTGGGTATATATCCCAAAAAAAAGGATACATATTCTATATGACCCTGTCCAGCCTAGGTTACACAAAAAAGCACCCTAGACCCTAAAAATAGAGGTCACGTGACATAAAATATACCTTTAAAAATAGGTATATACCCCAAAAAATGGGTATATGCCTCAAAAAATAGGGTATATACCCCCCAAAAAATAGGGTATATACTCTAAAAATTGTATAAAAAAAGGGTATATAATAGTATTATATATATTTACACGTGCGGGTCTCCCTGTGATAATTTCGACCAAAAATTAGTATAATTCCGGCTAAAAATTGGTATAATGCTGGTAAAAAGGGGTAAGCTATACTACATTTTAGCCTTAACTTGGAAAAATTTATGTTCTTTTTATATCTTTAGAGTTAAATGCTAATCGTTGCAGCTAAGTGTAGTTTACTTAGTACTAAGTGTAAAGTGTAATCACTAAAAACAGTATTATTTATCACCTGATTATTTTTTATCAGAAGCTTACCCCCTTCTTCCCTCTTAATATAAAAAAAATCAGGTTCTTATATATAATTTTAACTTTTTTTACCCCCTCTCCCCTAAAAAATCATCTAATTTTTGTTATGTCCCTAATTATTAAGCATTAAATGCTAATCATAATCGCTAAGCATAATCACTAATCGTTAATCGCTAAGTGTAATCGCTAATCGTTAATCACTAAGCGTAATCGCTAATCACTAATCATCAATGAGAAATAAGCAGAGTTTGTAGAACAGAGAAGTCTATAATAAGTATCTAATTATAGCAGATGAACTACTACATATCAAGTTAGTAATATTAAAGACTTTTAATTCATAATATTTAAAATACTTTTAACCTAAAATATTCATACAAAATATTCAAAAATTTCTAACCTATAATAGAATAGAATTTCTTTTAAGAAAATTGCTACAAATTATAATTAAGCCATTATTAAAAAATTTGCAATACTCAAGATGACATGGATGTGTTCTATTTTTTAAAGCATATATATATAAAATTTTGATTACACTTCATTGAATATGAAGTGAATATTTAATCAAATCATTATAATTACCGTATAGTACTGTATATAGTATCCGGTATACATGATTTTTTAAAAAGTGAAAAATTAAAAATCACACATATTTTATATCACATAATCACATAAATAGTATTTTAAAAAATTGATCTAAAATTGATCTAAATTATTTTGTCACACATGGTACTATATGCAGCACTATACGGTACTTTTTTAACCTACAAAATGGCTTATTCTATTTTTTAATTTAAAAAATAAAATATGACAATTAATAATTGAAATAAATTAAAAAATGATACAAGACATGCATAGATTTAAATATATGTATAAGTTTAAATACATCATAATAATTTCTTTATTAATCATAAATTTATACAAATATCTGTTGAAAACACCATATCATTTTCAAATTGAAAAATGAAATATGTCAATTAATTGAAAAATGATATATAACATATATAACTGATTATATAACAGTCTTTGCAACATTCATTTGTAGTATTTATTTTATACCATATAGCCTGTAGTTTAATGACAGGTTCTAATACTAGTATTTAATAAATTTAGATTAATTCGAATTAATTTAAATATTTCAAAATATCCTAGTAAATATCGCTATAAAAAATTTTAGTTTATTATATTGTTATAGAACAGTTTATTATTTTATTAGTTTATTATTTTGATATTGTATTTTATTATTTATTATTTTATCTTATTATTATTTAGTATTATTTAGTTATTATTATTAGAGTAGAATT